AAAACAGCTATAAATAATGAGAGCATGACCTGAATAATTCACCTTTTGTCACCATTCTTTGATGTTGTAAGAAGAATAAGTGCACACTTGTAATCCCAGCTCTGGGAGGCTGAGCCAAGAGAATCACCTTGAATTCAAGGCCAGCCTAGACTATGCAGCGAGAGACTGTGTAAAGAGATTGGTCAGGTGTAAAGCAAGTGACATGGAAAGAGGAAGCTATCCTTTTGGTTGTCTGTCTGGCAACATGGACAACTTGTACCTGTTTGCTGATTAGTTTCAGCAGTAGCTTTTATCTGCTAGTGTGCTCTGTGTCATTGCAGCAGGGAAGCTGTGTAGCACATTTCACATGGTTGCATGCTTTAGGCCTCCCTTTTTGGATGGCTGGAAACAGCTCTCTTGGCAGCAAGCCAGCATCTGTTGCCCGTAATAAGAGCTATGTGACTTGGTTGAAGCGATAGTAACATTTGAACAATACTTGCTATGAATAGTAATAGAGAGTGATCAAGAAAGGAAATTGAACTGCTATCTTTAGTGCTCTCCACCAGGATTCATTTTAGCACTTGTCAAACAACTCAATATACATACACTGTTTTTTCAGCCATTATGGAAAACCCCTGATATTTCCTATAACAGTCAGAGTAACATAGCCCAGAATTGGCCTAGGTGTATCTTTAGATACCTTTTAAACATTGCCTGTCTTGAGTAGAAGAGTTTCCTGAGAACTCTGATCAAAAAGCTGAAGTCTTGCTCTTATTACAGAAAGATCTTAAAAAATTACAGGGTTTAAACCGTGTTTTCACTTTGCAGTAAATTTACACAGCCTCCCTAGAGTCAGTTTAGACAAAAGGGACGGCATTAATAAATATGACTAATATCTGCATAGCACATTAGAGCATATAAACATCCTCAGTAACCTCAAGATTTCCACTAATTCACTGGATAATAAGTAAGGAAATTTTGTTTACAAGTTTTTGTGGCATCAGATTTTTCAGGGAAATGGCATCAAATACCATTTTGCAAACTAATGTAGGAAGATATGTATTTAGCAACTGCTTATGCAAGTACTATGCTATGAATGAATGAAATCAACCTGACTTGGTACTTGACCTTAAAGAACTAATAATCTGGCCAGGGGGCTAAGATGTGCCTGTCAGTGCTTGGCAGATGTGCTTGACTGCACAACGTACATGTGACAGATCAGGGCAGAAGTTTTAGCAGAATCTGGAAGTTTCATGGAGGAGGGGACATTTGAACTGAACTCTCCAGGGGGCCTAGGGACTGGAAGTATGAAGTGTGTGGGTGATGTGGAGTGGAGGGACAGCTAAACAGCAGGGCCAGTGTCATGAAATGGGAATATTGTAAAGTGGCCTTCCAGTTGCTATGAAATTTAAATATCTGGTGAAATTTAATGAGCCATAACAACTCATGAAATAGCTGGATTCAAAGACCTCCTCAGAGACAACATTTAGCTCAGACAAAAGGTATATTTTTTATACTAACCTTATATAGGTAATAGGTGAATTATCCACCAAAGAAATCTACCAGTGGTGGCAAGTTGAAGGTAATGAAAAATTAGAGGAGTCTGTGAGTCACATGGCAGTATGTATCTTTATAAAGGAGGGGCTTCTTGATTATGACAAATCATAGGATGGGAGATGTTCCTTACAGCACACACTTTATATGTAAGGGGAAAATGTTCGAAGCAGTCCAGAGGTCTTACTATAGAGAAGTGGCTAAGTTTCGATATAGCTCTGTAAGGTAATCTTGTGAAACTTTTTAATGTAAGATGTTATAAGGGTGTGTGTGTGTGTGTGTGTGTGCGTGTGCATGTGTGTCTGTGTCTGTGGATCAACCCACAGGGCTTCACACATTAGGTAGACACTGCCATTGAACTCCATCCCCAGTTCTATAGCATAACTTTTTTTCTAAAAAGCAAGCTCTGCAGTACCTTGCAGTATTATGATTTGCACAAGGACAAATGACTACAAAGATAATGCAGCATTTTTGCTTATTGTATGTTGAGTTCTTCCTGTGCTAAGTGCTAGGAATGTGGTGAAGGATGGAAATAGAATTGGTTTTTTTGTGGAGTTTGTGGGGTGGTGATAGGGATGGTTGTGAATCACATAATCCCACAGACAAATGTGTGGCTGTTCAAGTTCATGAATGCTGTTGAGTAAAGAAAACAAAGTGTGATTCTGAGTAGTAGATTGTGGGGGGCATAGTGAAGGTTTTCCTGAGGCACTGATGTCTGAGGTGAGATTTGCAGGGAGAATGGGTACCAGCTAGATGCAGAGAGGGAAGAGAGTATTTTTTTTTTCTGGCAGGGAAAATAGAATGTGCCAAGCCCCTGTGGCTGGAGAGTGCATGCAACTGAAAGATAGCCAGTATGGCTGGGCACATGTAGAATTGAGCGACAGGAGAGTGCAAGGTGAGAAGCTTCACCATATATAGCTATGTTCTGACCATATATTTCTTTTATAATAAGCAGTTGCTTAAAATGTGATACTGTTTATGCAGGTGGCTATTATTTTAATCTGTGGTAGACCTAATCATGCATAAGTGTGCAGCAAGGAAATAAGATTCATTTGGATTTGGAATCAGAGGAGGACTATTGAATTATTTATTAGCTAGAATTATAGAGCATTTTCCCTCTAGTAGGCATAGACAGCTATTATAGCTGGGCAGTTTATAGTTCAGTACTGAAAACAGTCAAGGCACCAGACCCTGCAGACAGTGTAACCCTTTGTGCTTGCACTTATTTCAAACATTGTTTGTTGTGAAGAAGTTACAATAATCAGGCAATTCTTGGAGGTGTGTTTTTAGAGCCCATAATCATCATCATTATTATTATTATTATTGTTATTACATATTTTTTTTGGTGCCGGAGATTGAACCTAAGGTCTCATGCATGCTAGGGAAATGCTCTACCACTGAGCTGCACACCTAGTCCCATCATAATTATTTCAAATAAACTTCCTACAGAGAACTCAGTGCAAGTGTTGAGAAGATTTTATTATTTTTATTTGTAGGTAACAGGAGGTTCCAGTGGCATTGGAAAGTGCATTGCTATTGAGTGCTGTAAACAAGGGGCGTTTATTACTCTGGTGGCACGAAATGAGGTAAGTCTTCTAGGTTCATTGTTACTAACGTACTTGTTCAACTTTAAAATAGTCAAAGAGGCTGGATTAAATGTGTTGGTTTGTACTTGTGCTGGAAAGTGCTCACTCCCCTGATTTGGGATGTGATTCCTGAACTGCTGTTTCTTTCTTGTGTTTAGGCCAAAGACTTTTCTGTTGATCTGCTTACCAAATATGTATTTAGTGCTATTAACCTATCAAACCTTATCATCAGAGACATTGCAGATTTTGAGATAGGAGAGGGTGAGATGTGGTTAAATAATACAGCTGGCCATGGGAAGCCAGATGTGCTGGCAGCAGCAATTCTGAAGCTGCTTCTCAAAGTGTTTCTTATTCTGGAGCTGAGACCTTAAGGTAGGTGTGTGCCTATAGTTTCTCTTTGCAATTTGCTTGTGATACATTATACATGTCTAGTGAAATCTGGGTACCACAGGGGAATCCCATCCATCCTGAAATGTTTAATGAAGCTTATTGTTCTATACAACAATAAGCTTGTAAATGTAAAAGGATTTACGTTTCTCTACATAAATCCATGCAGAATCTGTTTCTCCCTTTTGGCTGGGTGTGTATTTCTCACCAAAGTTGTTTTGAGAGCACAAAGCTGTTGCACTGTGTGCACATAAACAGTCAGGAAGTACTCTTGCTCCATGTGAGGGCATGGCATGGGAATGAACTCCTTAGCAAGGTGTGGTTGGCTGAATAGAGATCACTGAGGAGGGCAGGCCAGCGTGAGCCTCAGTGGGGAAAATACTGGATGTCGTACAAAATTACTCTTGACATGGGATCACATGTGCTTTCAGCTTTGTGAAGCACTGCATAGCAATCTGATTGCTTTTGTTTTATATCACTACTCAACAATGTCAGATCAAAAAGTGTATTAAATTGGTAGGGTGACCATCACATTTCATACTGTTAATTGGAATTTTGAGGTTCACTTATTTTTCTATTATCTTTCTCTGAAATGAATTTAAAAACTTGCTGTCAGTCGTCACTTATTCACAGCTTAATATATTTTACTACTTTCATGAACTGTGACCCATACTACTCAGTATAGATGCTGTTTTGTATGTTTATAGAATTTAATAAACATTTATATGAACAATTGTCTTTTTTCTCTCCTTTTCAGCAAATAAGCAGACAGACATAAGACAATCTCCAGATCTAACTATTCTGTGTTGCTTTCAGGAGAAGCTGCTTCAGGCAAAAAAAGAAATTGAAAAATACTCCATTAATGACAAACAGGTAAAGTGCTGTCTTCAGTATGAATTTTTCAATACTAGCAAGCACTGAGGTAGGAAGAAAAAAAAGGGTCACTTTAACTGACCACTGAAAGCGGTATGATTTTCCTGATTAAAATAGATTTTTTTAAAAGGTGAAATTTTTTGAAATGGCAAGAAACTTGGGTTATTAGCAAAACAATGTATACCTGACACATTCACCATTGATCAGAAGAAGCTCTATTGCTAGAACATGATATTACTTCCATTATTTATTTAAGTAAAATTTACGCAGTGCTAAAGAAGAAAGGATATTTAAGAATTTTTTGTGGTTGTAGGATTTTTTTTTTTTATTGAGTAAAAGGCATAAAACATATTTAGTATGAAGCACAGTGACAAATTGACAGCTACATGACCATCACCCCAATTAAAGAAGTAGAATTTAGTTACAAAAAGAGTGTCCCCTGCATTATCAATTTTTTATTTTTAAAAATGTATTAATAAATAGAAACATCAAGAAATTGTCTAGAATGGTCTTCATTTAGCTGTTTTAATGTCTTTGATAGTGAGCACATTTTTCCTTTTCTTCTTTTTTTTTGGAATCAGGAATTGAACTCAGGACCTTGTGCTTGTGAGGCAGGTGTGGTGTCATTTGTCCAAATCCCCAGGCCTTTCTTTTTCCTTTTTGACTTGTGCCATTATAAGATGTTTCTAAATAGAAGAAATTAAGAATTGCTATAAGAACTTTAATAAGCTTGAGTGTAGTAATCATTTCACAGTATATCTCAAAACATGATATCATTCATATACCTTAAATATATATGATTTTATTTTTCCCTTCTTAATCAAGAAAAAGAATTAAATGAGGTAATCCATTTTAAAAAGTACACACTGGGATATTTGTACACACTGGGATAGTATGGCTACTATGGTATAAAATGTGTTAAAATATCTTGTTAATATGTTTTATATTGCACATGTTAAAATGAGCGTATCTTGATATATTGGGTTGAATATAACATATTATAAAATTTTCATTAAATAATTGAATTTACCAGAGCTTGTGAAGGTTTTGAAGCTGTTCCACACCAGCCTTTTATTCCTAGAAGCCACCCTAACCTGATTTTTTGATTGAATCCTTCTTTGCTGTTCTTTAAAATTTTAGTATCTGTGGTAAAATATGAGTAACTCTAAATAGTAATTTTTTCAGTTGTTTCTTTTTGAACTTGATGGCATTATTCTTACTTTTAAAATCAGCTTTATTGAGATATAATTCACATATACACTTGTCTGTGTGTTTATTTATTTATTGGTGCTGGGGATTGAACTCTGGGCCTTATGGATGTTTGCAAACACTCTACCAGTGGGCTACATTCTCCTTCCTTTTTTATTTTATTTTGAGATAGAGTCTTAGTAAGTTGCCCAATCTGCATGTGAACTTCTAGTCCCCCTGTCTCAGCCTCCCTAGCAGGGTGTACAGGTGTGCACCATCATATCCAGCACAACTGCCCTATTGAAAGTATTCAATCCATTATTTTTAATTATAATCATGAAGTTAGGCACTCATCACCACAATTAATTTTAGAATGTTTCTGTCACATCATAAGAATCTCTTGTCTCCATTAGCAGTTACTTCCCATGCTTGTGGCAGCCCATTCCTGCCCTAGGCAAGCAATACTCTACTTCTAGCTCATTAGAACATCGTTCTTTATGCATTTTTGTGCAACTCTCTGTTTTCCTTTGATATTGTCTTAAAAATCCATCTGTGTTACTACTATGTTCATTAAACTTTCTGTTGTACAGAATTCAATTATATGGCTAAACTACCTTTAGTTCATTGGTTCTACTGTTGGTATTTAAGTTGTATCCTGTGCGTTTTGTTGTTGTTAGTTTTGGGTTTTGCTATTACAGAAGTTTTTCACTGTATCTCAGCGCACATGTACAAGAGTGGTACTTACCTAGAAATGGAATTGCTGAGTTGTGGACATGTGTCTTTGACCTCACCATGTGGACAAATGTCTTCAGCCTCCCCAGCCCAGTGATACACCCTCTGGATGTATGATGGCTTACGTTGCTCCACATCCTTGTCAACACGTTATTAGCATAACAGATAAATTTTTTGCCTTCTTGGTAGGTAGTAAGTAGTATGTCATTGTGGTTTTAATTGTCCCCCTCCCCAAGTATTTTAGAGATCTTTCCATGTCAATAAAAATAAGTCCAGAATTAATCAATTTCCTGTTGAGATTTTTTTTCTTTTGCTACTGCAGCCTGTGCTGTAAGTAAAATTCCTTGTCCACATTCCCTACCACACATATGTGAGTTTCTCTAAACTATAGCCTCTGCCTCTACCTACTTTTCTGCAGCCCACAGACATAAGAAGAACCCCAGCTCTGTAGATCACTGCATTTTTCCCATATTCACCTAATTTGTGACAGAGGAAAAAAGTAGTATAAAATTATGCAGCTTGAGTGCTGTGGCTGAAGGCCAGCACTCTCTGCTCTGGGCCTCATGTTGATTCCCACCTCTCTTCATCTATCCAAGGATTTTAGGTAATATGGAAAATGTTTGTCATCCATCCATATAAGAAGACCAGGTTGATAATCAGGGCTGGGTTTGAGCCCAGTTCTGATGATTGGCTTTCCATTATCGTGACAAAATACCTGAGGTACCAACTTGTAAGGAAGAAAGGCTTGTTTTGGCTCATGGTTTCAGAGATTTTAGTCCATGGCCCTTTGGCCCTGTTGCTTTTGGGCCTGTGGTGAGGCAGCAGCACATGAGAGCGAGGAACATGTCATGGAGCTAAGTTAATCTCTCATAGGGACTGAGAAGCAAGGGGAGAAGCAGGAAGGGGCCGGGGCTGGATATTCTTTTCAAGGCCACACCCCCAAAGGACCTAGCTTCCTTCCAGTAGGCCCACCTCCTAAAGGTTCTAGAGCTAAAGGTTTAAAGGCTAAAGGCTGGCAATCAGCCTTTAGCACGTGGGCCTTTGGGAGACACTTATCCTAGTCATAGCCCTAAGCTTCCTGAATATCTGTCTGTTCCTTCTAGGACCCACTCCACCCTCCCCTTCAACTCAGCCCCTCACTGCGTATTGTTTCTTATGGTTGTGCCTCTTATCAATGGCATTGTCAATAGACTGCAAACACTGAAATCTGTGCACTCAAAATTTGTCTTTTTAGTTGGATGTGGTCATGCATGCTTGTAATCCTAGCAACTTGGGAAGCTGAGGCTGGATGATCACAAGGTGTAGGCCAGCCTGGGGAATAAAAACTTAAAAAGGGCTGAGAAAGTAGGTTGAGAATAGTGTCCCCTGGGTTTGATTCTCAGTACTGGAAAAAAAAATGGCCTTCTTTACTGGAAAGAATTACTTTTAATTTTTAAAAAAATCTTTAAAAAATAGTTCAACACATGCACACTTCAGATCATTTATTTTTCCTTTTTAACAGGTGGTGCTTTGTATCTCAGTTGATGTATCTGAAGACTATAACCAAGTAGAGAATGTCATAAAACAAGTAAGAGATTGGGCCACTTGGATTTAATGCACTTAACTTGATTTATTCTTACCATTTTGCCTTGTGGCTTGAAACTGATCAATCTTCTCTAGGTGTAGTGGTTTGTAGGTTTTACCTATCAACCTGAATTTACTGCTAGGTGATTCTTCTGTCTTCTAATATCTGCTTTGATCTATTTTTCTAGGCACAGGAGAAACTGGGTCCAGTGGACATGCTTGTCAACTGTGCAGGGATGGCACTGGCAGGAAAATTTGAAGATCTTGAAGTTAGTACTTTTGAAGTAAGTAAAAATGTTTGCTCACTGGGATAGCCTATATACGAAAAGTAGAACAAGTTTTGAGTAAAGACTTTAAGAATGAGCTAGATGAATGCATTTGGGTATTCACAGAAGCTTGAGAAGACAAGAAGGCTAATGAGGCTTTGTTCCTGGGGCCACAACCATCCAACCTTAAGCACATAGACAAATCTCTGAAACTCCATTATAAAATGAAAACAAAACAATTAATGTGGCACAGATCGCTACAGCAATTCGCTGAGACCCCCTCTTCAAGACAGCACTTTGTAAACCAAGAGAAGTTGGATTTTCATGTCAAGTATCAGTATTATCATTATAATAATAATTATTATTATCGCAGTCATGCATGCTAGGCAAGTACTCTACCACTGAGCTAAATCCCCAGCCCTTTAAAATTTTCAGTTTGAGCCAGGGTCTCATTAAATTGCCAAGGCTGGTCTCAAACTTGCAATCTTCCTTCTTCAGCTTCCTGAGTAGCTGGGATTACAGCCATGAGCCACCACACCTGGAATGGATCAGTATTATCACCAATGCGAGATCAAAAAAGTTGAAGAATATCCTTGTTAGAGTTCCTAATCAGGATAAGATGGTGCATTTATTTATATTATTAATACTTTTGCCAAGGAATGAAACTCTTAGTAATTTATGTGAACCCCAAAGAAATGGACATTAGGCAGGAAATCTTTTTTAAGTGCAAAATATTTTATAGCTGGCAGTGCATCGATCCATCCATCTTTTACTATTCTGTTAGGCCTTTCTCGAGGTAATGCATTTTGAATGCTTGATTCTGAGTTTAAATCACATTCCCTTTTTATAGAAAAGGAGACCTCTGAACCAGTATTGCAGCTGCCTAGCTGCTTTTAGGCTGTGGAAAAGCACCATAAGCTTTGGGATTTACTTAAGACGAGCAAGGGAGGGTATAGGCAGAAGCAGAGTGGTGGAATGTGAGTGTGTTAAGGCTTCTTTATCAACTCAGCATAATAGAGCGTGTCTAGACTTGCATACTTTCATCTGGAAGGAATGGAAAGGAGATTGGAAGATTATGTCAACAGCTGTGTAAAGAGTCACTGTGGGGGAACAGTTGCTGATGTGTAGGCATGAATTGATAAAAGATTAGGGAGGTAATCAGGAAAAGAGGAGTAGGTGTGCATGTGTATATGTTGTAAAGTATGTGTGTGCTCTGCATGCATGTGCAAGATGATGTGGAATGAGAATCTTCAGGCTCAGTTGGGTTGAACAGGGGGCAAAGAGTGGTTTGAAGAATGAGTAGTTTGCATGGCTGAGATAAATAAACACAGAGTTCAGAAGCTAGGACCCCAGAACGTGGGATGTGTGGGTCTGGGGCAGCAGGAGTGGGGGCTATGTAACACTCTATATCTTGTGGCAATTCCAAGGCAATGAAGTGAATGTTGTGTGGAGGTGTACGGTTGTAAAGAAGCATAGGAGAAAATTAACTGTAATACCAGGCACATGTTGGTAGGTATCAATGACAAGGAAAAGTGTGAAGCATGTGTTGTTTCAGTTCATTGCTGGAGGAGTTGGGCAGATCCCCCATGCTTCCACTGGGAAACAGATCTTGGAAAGTTACACCTCATTTCTTCTGGACTCTGCCCATGTTATCTTTTCCCTTTGCTGATATTTTTCATATCCTTGCCCTGTAATAAATCTGAGTTTATGCCAAGGCCTAGTGAATCACAGCCTGGAGAACTTGAGCTTACTTCTATTAATTTTCCTTTCTAAGTGTTTCTTCATGATTTTTTTTTTGGGGGGGGGTGCTGTGTCTATCTTAAGCCCATAGATATTTAGTATTATTTAAGTTTTCATTTGGCCTCTCATTGCCTGTGCTTCTGAGGCTGGCACCTCTGTGATTTGAGTTAGAGGCTTTGCATGGGTGTGTGGCAAGCCATGGTTGTATTTGTACTTTAAGAGCTAGGCACTAAAGGGCTGGTGGAAGATCTTTGCAATGGGTAGAATCATTTGGTTATTGGCCCTCTGTTGGGTGACAGTTTAGGACATATCTTGGGCGGAGCCTGAATGTCAGGATCTGTAGGTCTTTTCTCTTATTTTGATCAGAAGCCCTTATTTCTCTTATTTTGATCAGGAGTTTTAGCCTCCTGCCTAGAAAATACGTGCCTGACAATGTCAGAAAAGTGAAATTGGCAAAGAGAGTTGGAATTTCCATGTTCAGGGTCTAGACAGTTTTTCATTTAACTTTGCTTTATCTAGACTGATCCTCCCTCAAAACTAAACTGCTGTCTCCTCCCAAACTAGAGAGGGACCATATCTACTTTGTGAAGAAAGGAAAGGCCTTCAGGTTATAACTGCTTTGGTGTTTTGTTTTTAGTCATTGTTACAGATTAGTTTTTTTAAAGCAATGTGAAATTCATAGAAAATTAGCCATTTTATTTTTATGTATTTATGTATTTTTTTAATCTATTTTTTTCTATATTGTTTATTTTGAGACAAGGTCTTACTAAGTTGGTCAAACTGGTAATCCTCCTGTGTCAGTATCCTAAGTGCTGGGAATATAAGCAGATGCCACCACACCGAGAAAAACTAGCCATTTTATTTTTTTTTTATTTAATTGAATTTATTGGTACATTCTAGGTAGACAGTACAGTTACATTCATTACTGGGATCTTGTACCTTTACATGCCAGGTTTGGTTCTCATTTTTTCCCCTTGTCCCTGTCCTCCCTTCACCCCCCTC